GGGAAAGAGAGGATGAGCAACTCTGGGTACAGCGAGCTCTCACTAAAATGGACTTTCAAATCCACTTCATCTTCACCAAAATAAAGGAGGCAAAGCTATTTTATAATAAAATATCATTTTACCACATGGAGTCAATGCTTCATTTTAGCTGACAAACTAAATAAAGGCTTTACATACAAGGTTAATAGTAAGTTGAATGAAAAAATCATAATTAAGTAAATATGATCTCTGGGAACAAAATCTTACTAATAGTTGGTTTAAAATTTAAATTATTTTGGGAGTCTGTATTTTTATAAATTAAATTTTGGGTTCTTTAAATATTAACCTAGTCAAATTATATGCTATAATCTTAATATTAAAATTATTAGGTTACATTAATGATTCAAAGCAGTGTACATGAAAAGAAATTGCATACTAATTTACCAGCATACTTATGTTAAATACGATATTTTGTGGTTTCAAAATATCAGATTGGTGATTTAAGAGCTAAAACAGTTGACATAAGCCAGTAACAGTTTCCAGCCATTAAATGAAAGTATAGTCATGCTATTTTTTAATTAAGTTTGATTTTAACTTTTTTTTTCCTTTATCTTTTCCTCTTCCCTCCTTCCATCCTGTCTCAGTCTGTTCAGGCTGCTATAACAAAATACCTTTGAATGGGTAATTTATAAATAAGAACTATTTATTACTTACAGTTTTAGGGACCTGAAAGTCCAGAAACAAGGAACCCACAGATCTTGTGAGAGTATCTGCTCTGCTTTAAAGATAGTGCCTTTTTTTTTTTCCTCCCATAATGAAAGGGGCAAGCAAGCTCCTTAAGGCCTTTTTTATAAGGATATTACAAAAGAGGGATAGGCCCTCAAATTCTTAATACTATTGTGTTGGTGAATTCTATTTCAACATGTGAATCTGGGGAGAACATTCAAATCACAGCAATTTCTTTCTACCTCATTTTATTCCTTTGCCCCCACACTCCCACCCCTTGGTTCCCTTTTTTTTTTTTCTCCCCTCTCTCTCTCTTATCTTCATTGATTCCTAACTCATTGATTCCTAAAGCTTCAAGCAAACAGTGGAAACAAACATGGCACTTCCAGAAAACAGCAGACTTCCGCATGTATCTAATACAATTAATACAATTTTGCTCAACATTTTATCCTTATTAGGGGCTATGGCTCTAATAAACCAAACCAGTGGTAAAGACACTATAAGAGAAAAAACGAAGACACAGAGACTGCGTGTGTGTGTGTGTGTGTGTGTGTGTGCGTGTGTGTGTGTGTGTGTGCATATAGCCATGCATACAGAATCAATTTAGTGCAACCAACTAGAAATAGGAGGCATCTACCTAAAATTAAACTTGTTTGATAGTTTTCACTAGTAGAAAGAAATCGTAAATTAGAAACTGTTTTCTTAAATTGAATTTCTTACCCCAGTTTCTATTAGCGCATCACGGGATTTCTTCCCCTTTTTCTGCAATTTTTTCTTTGTTCTTTCTACCTTTCTTCTAACATAGTTTTTCTTTTCAATAATGTCGTTAAACACCTAGAAAATATTCAAATAGTAAGATATACAGCTTTACAACCCATCATCCTGGTTTTGGCTAAACGGTATCTAAATGCCTAAACGACAATTTTAATAATAACAATATTGATAAATATAGGGAAAAAATACTACTCATTAATTACAGAAAGCTACTATGGTATCCAAAAATCTCAATATTCTATTTGAATTACTTAAGAAAACCAAAACATGTTCATTTTAGGTAAGGAAAAAACAAATATGCCCACATAGAAATGGTAAATTTTTATTTTATTTAAAATATTTTAACCAAAATGAAAGCTCCAAGTATGAGTTATCATTAATCATTACCAAAAGTGTATAAGAACTTATTCTTTCCTAGAGTTTGTGCTAACTTACTAGTTCTCATAATTTTTAACTATTAAAATATAATGAAAGCAAAATTGATTACTGAACCACAAGATGATGTAATACCATGGCAAGTATAAAATAAGGGGTAACAAAAGTCATTAATCCATCTAGAATTCATTATCCTACTCAGACAGTTACAATTAATAAATTTCCATCATTAATGTAAAGAGACCCACTGTCAAAATAATTTATCCACTAAGTGTTAAACTGACTAGATACTGTTACGTAAGCACCATCATGGCGTTTAGAAGCCCTAAATGGAGTGGTATTCAGATTTTGTTGTTTTCATCCTTTATCACCTTGTACAAGTTGGTCCACCTGTGTAGTTTCAAGTTTTTTCAAGGCTATCATACATGTAAACTTGCCTATTTGATGGGGAGGATTTGAGGATCAAAACAAATCTTTATATAGGATAACTTTCTAAATCACCATTTTTAAAAAATAAAGACATTTTGAAAATTATTAAAGACTAGAACATCAAGTTACATTATCATTTACAAAAGGGAAAAATGCTGCTGCCAAAATGACCCAAATATATATATATACATATATCCTCCCTGCAGGGAAGGACAAGAATGTATAACTCTTACCACACCTCTAGTTATCCAGAAGACTAATGACAGGATGCATTCAGAGTTTTCTGCTAAATTTTTCTCTGGGAAGGGCTAGTAATATCAATTACTGCCATAAACTTGTAGTTTTGAAAATATGTTTATCGACATTTACTTTATTTTTCACACTCCCTGTCTTAACTTCTACATGCATCAAACTTTTACCATGGAAATGTCAAGATGCCTTATATTTTTATTCAAGTAAATACAAGTTCAGCATTTGTTAGGAAGCAGTGAAGCCTTTGAATAATGTTTGCCATAGTAATGCCAGGTAAGTCTCTCCTCAGCCATTTGAAACTGCTTTTCCTAAGAACAACTCTTGGATAGAGTATGGGGTTCTAAAGTAATAGTATTAATGATGTGATGATAAAATTCCCCTGTAGGTGAGTTGTGGTCCTGAAATAGTTATTTAGCTTGTCCATGTGTTTCCTACATAAAATTAACATTTTTCCAAATAGTAATGTAAAACTCTCGTAGATGATTTACCAACCTAAATTTTCCTACAAATTAGTTTCTGAATTAATTATGCATGCTTACTTCAGAATGTTCTTTGTGGAGATTTCTGATTCTTTCAGCTTCTTCCTCCAGTTTAAGCAAAGGTTCCTCTATTTCTGCCAGTGTTAAAGAATATATTCCCTTCTTTTTTAGCAACTCCTTCCTCTCAAGTATCTGGGTTTCTTGAACGGAAAACAGCTTTTTCTGCCAGCAAAGATTTTAAATAATTCATTCATTCACCTAAATATGTATTGAGCCACTATCCAGTGCTCGGCAGTAATCTTTGTTGTTATTTGAAAATCAAATAATAGATACCAACATAAAAAGCAATGACTAAAAAATATAGTATATTTAAAGAGCACAAGATTATTAGAAAAATAAATAGCAGACAATACAAATGAAAGATTCTTAAGTCAGGACAAAACAGTGAGAGTACACTAACAACACACAATGGAATATAGACAATTCCTGCAACTAAAAACAACAAAAAAACAGTAAACATGAAGTTAATAACAAAATATTACACAAAAAAAGACTGGGACGGGTAGAGATGATTGAGTATATGTGTACAGAAATAAATTAGGAAATTTGGTATTTGCAAACATATAGAAGCACTGATTTTATGTTCGAAACACTAAATTTCCGAAGAGGAAAAATAGAAAAAAATATGTGTTTGCTTTGAAGAGGACCACACGTGCAGATAATCCCCAACTATACTATTTTGATCTATTTTGCCCTTTGTAATAATAATTTCAAATATGCGTGCTTTTTTGAAGGGGAACATTCTAGAGACATGCCATAGATCAAAAAACCCAAACAGGGTTGCCAAAGCTATAGAGTGGATAGATCGAGATGTTAAAAGTTAAAGCTGATTTTGCTAGTTCTCACGCATTCCTTTCCAAGTCTTTGTAAAGAAATATCAGAGCATATTTTTCTTTCAGGGTTAAATAAAGAAATTCAAGTGGAAGACACTAAAAGTAAAGAACACATAACATCATCACAAAGCTAACTCAAGAGTTAGACACTTAGGAATAAGATCCCACTGCCCTTTTACTAGACTGGCAGAAATTCCCATTAAGCCACAAAATGAGATATGGGTATGGGAGGTCAGTTTCTTTATGCATGATCAGACGCTGCTCGTTGTACACAGAGGGCAACTGTCATCAGCTAAGGAGAGAAAACTGCTGGCTTGCAAACCAAGTAGTGACAAGATGCCTCATTACAGGCAAATTTAAAATGCTAAGTAAAATGCAAATTAAAGGGAGAATAAAATATTGAAACCAAAGTAGTATTACCTGAAGCATCATTCCAGCAGCCACTTCACCTCGAGTGAGTTTTTTCAAGAATTCTTCTCTGCCCTACATGTGATCAGATATTTTAGAGTTGGGAATTTCATTCACAGAATCTCAAAAAAAAAAAAATTAAGGACAATGCTAACGCAAGATATATGTTACTTAGTTGTAAAAAATAACAATAAAGTATTCATTATAATTATAAATTTTTTTCAGTGTAACTCTGGTTTTTTTAGAGGCAAAGTAATTAAGTGATACAACAGCAGGAAATAGATTAGAGAATTTTAGTTCCATTCAAGTTATACTTCACAGTCCTGAACTTCAAAACATCACAGAACTCAGAAGATAAAAACTAGACACTCAACAATTCGTTTAAAAAAATTCAGTTTGTATTTAATATTACTTCCCAGAGTAAACACATTCAACTTTGAAAACAAGATAGGTAAAATTCAAGTATAAAGTTCGCAAAATATGATTAGATTCTCCATTTGGCTAGAACAAGTTCTTTTCTTCCTTTTTCAATTTCTTTCTCTCTTTTTTCATCTCTCTCTATTTTATTCTTTTCTTTCCTCTTCTCGTTTCTTCTTCTCTTCTCCTCTTTCTCTTCTCTCTTTTTTTTTAATTCTTCTTACCTTTAGAGTTAGTGGGTAGGTCCAATCTGGTGGCATAGTGAGTAGAAAACTGAACTGCAGTAATGGAAGCCAGATGGCAGCTATGGGTTTGGACCCCTGAGTTGAAAATGTGTTAAGTGTCTGCACACATGCCCAAGTTCCTATTGAGCTGGAGGGCCAAGAAAAGTGCATCACGGTGTGGAATGACAAGATCTAGTTAGGGGTTTTCCTTTCTTTCTCTCTGTCATGCACTGACACATATTTTCTATCATGAATGAAATTAACTTAAAAAACTAAAGTTAGTGATTTAAAAGTATTTAGGAAAAAAATCTTCTCTTACCTTGATAACTTGTCTTAAATTGTTCATACTCTTGCTTTAAATGATCAGACAAAATTAGCATTGGAAGTAGTTTATAAAGTTCCTTTAGTTTTGAAATTACATCCTGGAAACTCTTTATTAGAGAGGAGTGGCTTGGATTGAGTCTGTCCTCTAGATTCATAAAATATGTATAACTTTGCAAAGAACAAGGCAGGTTCAGAAATGGCCCTAATGTGCCTACTATTACTAACTCCCTCATTGTATCCCAGGATTTGCAAAGACAATAGAAAGAAAAAACCTAAAGGTCTCTCCTCTGACTCTTTCTCTACTCAGTATAAAAACATCAAAACTATGTTATCTTGGAACCAGCAGTTAGTGTAGTGGCTATGTCGCTGGACTCCCATGTAGTCGACTGTGGTTCAAGTCCCGGACCCAGCGGCTTAAAACTCATGCCGGGTACGTGTGCGTGCATGCCCAAGATCCCAAGAGGAGAATGGAGGAGAAGGGATTGTGGCGTGGCCATCCCCCCTGGGGGCTGATTTCTATCTCTGTCTCTCTTGTCTTTCTGGCGAGTGCACGCGCCCTATAGTGAAAACCTCTCCAAAAAAACCCCTTAAAGTGAAAGAATAAAAAAGGTGACCAGTAAAGTCATCATTTATCACTTGACCTAAGGATTTACTTACATGTAAAACCAATTTATGCAATGATATGTTTTGAGAATTCAAAAGGAATTAGCAGTGCTTATTTATTTATTTATTTTTTGGGGGGAGAGATTTTCACTATAGGGTGCATGCACTCGCCAGACAGACAGAGAGAGACTTAGAGACAGAAAGCGAGAAATCACCCCCCAGGGGGGATGGTCACGCCGCAATCCCTTCTCCTCCATTCTCCTCTCGGGATCTTGAGCACGCACGCACACGCGCCCAGCGTGAGTTTTAAGCCACCGGGTCTGGGACGCAAACTGCGGTCGACTACGTGGGAGTCCAGTGACATAGTCATTACGCTAACTGCTGGTTCCCAGCAGTGCTTTCTAATATGGTCACAGATACCATGTACTTTTAACAGCTTGTTAAATGTTTAGTAGAAAGAGAACAAAATTTAAAATGCGTGCATAGACTAAAGAAAAATATCTTATATTCCAAAATGTGCTGCACCATTTGACCTTTGTTAAATAGTTAGATGTGAAGTTAAAAAGATGATCAATTATCAGATTATGTGAGCTCTCAAAGGCACACTAATCAGGTATTCACAGTCTTCCTAAAATAATATTTTTTAATAAAAGAAAATATGAATGGTCTACGAGGGCCCTGAAAAATGCCCAGAAGCTAGACAGTTCTTAAGAGAACTAATGCATTATAAGACCTTCAAAATATCCTAAGGTAGGGCCAACCCTATAGCCTAGTGTTAAGAGAGTCGAATTCCACATAGCTAACTGCGGTCCAAATTCCAGCCCTGACAGCTACATGCCAGGCACATATGTATACATGCCCCAGATCTTAAAAGGATGGAGAAACGGAGATATCTTTATCTCTCTTTTTAGTCTCTCTGGCAAGCACAATGCTCCTTAGCAATTAAAAAACAAACGCAGAAAAACCCTAGAGTGCTCCAAAGACTGATTAAGGTGAGCTCTACTGGTCAAAGATCTCTCAGTCCATGTAGTGCCACATCTGGGTGAGGAGATCGATCTGTCTTCCTATTCGATTGTTTCAGGCAGTGTTCTCTGCACGGCTGACTTGGAAATGGAGTTTTGTGTACTCACTAAGGAATGCACTTGAAATCAACTCCTTTGGACAGGGGAGGAATGAAGCAGGACTGAAGAGAGAGAGGCCAAGCTTGGGCACAGTCCAGGAGGCATTGGTCAAGCCTATGGGAAGTTATGGAGCATGAGTAGACCTTCATATTTGCCCTGAGTTGGACTAAGGTGGGAGGGCTGCCCTCTATTATTTACCAGTCATTGGATATGGGCTGCCCAAAAAGGGGAAGGAACTTAAGCAAAATGATTTAATTGGGGACCAGCAGTTAGTGTAACGACTATGTCACTGGACTCCCATGTAGTCGACCGCGGTTTGAGTCCTGGACCCGGTGGCTTAAACACATGCCAGGTGCATGTGGTGTGCCCAAGATCGTGAGGCCAGAATGGAAAAGAAGGGATTGCAGCATGGCCATCCCCCCTGGGGGGTGATTTCTTGCTTTCTGTCTCTCTGTCTCTCTCTGTCTTCCTGGCGAGCGCACAAGCCCTATAGCAAAAATCTCTCCAAAAAAAGAAAAAAACAATGATTGAACTGATTCCTCAGAGGAAATCTGACCAATTATGTCTACCAAACATCACAAATACTATGGGTTCTTGGAGTGATAAAACTACCATTTGTATCAATCCTATTAATAGCCACTAAAATATGTTTTATGACTATAATGTAGAATTATCTTGTTTTAACTTCACAATAGAATCTATAAAATAGCTATTATTGTTCCCTTGTGTATATGAGCAAACTAGACAGAGAGATTGCGTAAGGACTAAACACAAAGCTGGTCCAAGATGGATCCAAGATACTAATTCACACACTCTCCTTGAGAGCTTAGGGAAGCTATCTTACCGATTTAGCAGCTTAGTGACACCTAGATACTTCAAAGTGATAGGAGCATTAGGCAGAGCATTCTGACTCTCACATGCCCCTTCCATTGCAGGACCTCATTGAGACTTTCCTGGTAATTGGACTACCTGACTACCTTAGATTCTATAAATGAGATACCTGTACTAGACATTGAGGATTGGCATTGAGACTTTGGGTAAAAGAGCTGCCAACTTGCTAGAGATGCGATATTGGCTCTGAAACAGAATCTGCTGGGAAATTTATAAGCTCTAGGGAGACTTTGCCTTTCAATTATGCAACATGAAATATATAACTGCTGAGAAAAGATTCAGGATTAAATGTGTACAAATTACCAGGAAGAAGAATTAACAGCAGAGCTAGAGTATGGCCTGCTTAGTAAAATATTGATTGTGCCATCTTCAAAAATGTTCAATAAGAGAAACTGGAGAATAATGAAGAGATACAGTGATTGTAAAAGGTTTCCTGGTTTAATAACACATGTACAACTTTTGAGAATTCAATGGTTCTTGGACACCTTACCAAAACGTTTTGTAAATACAGGCAGCTCTCACTTCTCAGAGCTCCATATTAACTGAAAACTGTACTTATTGGGACTGGACAAACTGAAGACAGCTCAGATAGGCACACATTGCAGATAACATTTGTGTTATGTAAAAGGAAGGCTGCTCTGTGTGTGTGTGTCTGTCTGTGTGTGTGTGTGTATGTGTGTGTGTGTGTGTGTGTGGTTTTGCATAGAGTCTTACTATGTCATGATCCCTGTAGCTCAGGCTGCCCAAGTTGCTGGGACTACAGCTGCACATGACCACACCTAGCCTTTAGGCTGGACCATAAGTTGAACCTAGGCTTCCCAGCCTGCAGAGCACAGCATCTTACTAGTGTGCACTATTGGGTGCATCTCAGTTGGGTTTATTATTCACTTTTTTAGGTTTAGCCATAGATCATGCATGCTCACCAGAGAGAGACAGAGAAAAGACAGAAGATATAAAGTGAGAAATCACCCCCTCAGAGGATGGCCATGCCACAATCCCTTCTCCTCTTTTCTCCTCTCAGGATTTTGGGCACATGTACACACACACCCAACAAGATTTTCAAGTCAACAGGTCCAGCACTCAAATCATGGTCAACGATATGGGAGTCCAATGCCTTAACCACCACCTGCTGGCTCCCTATTATCCACTTTTAAAGATGAGAACACTCAATCATTGAAGTCATGGACTTGGTCACATGACTAGTCTTCAAGAAAGCATTGGCACCAGGGCTGCCTGATACTGTAGCTTGGGCAACGTTCTACGGCATTACAGTAAGCTCCCTCTATCTCTTCTTTAGCTTCCAGTGCTGTCTAAATTTGCTGAATGAAAAACATATTAAATAAATTATTTTATTATTAACAGACAACCTTTTTTTTGGTAAATGGATTGGAGCATTCTCCTTTAAAATTTCAAGTTTTTCAAACTCTAACTTTTTCTTTAAATATCTTTATATAATGAGAAACTCAGGACTCATTAAAATGTCACACTCACACAG